TTTTTAACGAAAAAACTTTTTTTAGTAATATGAATATCCATACTTGGAGTGTAATGAGATATATGAGAATGTCCTTTTGATGATTGGTGCTAGGTACTTGGCGACATAATAGAATCGCTAGCCGGAGCTATATTTGTGGACTCGGGTTATGATAAGGAAATAGTTTTCCAGAGTATGAAGCCTCTTCTTGAGCCGTTAATCACGCCAGAGACTTTGAGGATTCATCCGGTTAGAGAGTTGACCGAGCTGTGTCAAAGGGAGCACTTTATATTCAAGAAGCCTTTGATTTCTCGTAAAAATGGGACAACATATGCTACTGTTGAGGCTGAGGCACACGGCGTTGTGTATAAAGAAACGCGTTCGTCTGTAGATAAAAAGATGGCGAAAAAACTAGCGTGCAAGGCAGTTTTGATGTCTCTTAAAGAGAGCATTTTTGCAGAAATGAAATCCTGAAGCAGTCTGGAGTATATATTCCAGTCTTGTTCTGTAATGGGTTTTATTCTGTCTTTTTGTTAGGAATTCTGTACATGCAAGGATTGTAACAGACATGATTGTATAGTTGAATGCTAATAGTGAAATGCAGATTTTTATGGTGATAGCTGAGAACAAAAAACATGGCTGGTACGTTTGGTTAAACACGGTGTAATTTGATCAAGTCATGGGGAAAAAACCGTCAGAACATGTAAGTAGTCATTGAGAAGGGCTGAAAGCATAAATGTGCCAGAGAGAATTTGATAGTGTTCTATCATATTAAGAAAATTGAGAAGAAACAAATCAACAGTAAAAACATCATCCATGAATATGGAAACTTTTTCTGTTTTTATTGCGAATTTGGGGAGTACATGTTAACTCCCTTTGGGTGCTTTCCTGCCTTGTGGCTTAGGTTTGTACTCGATTCAGTCATTTGATTGATCGTCTGTAAAATGCTGCTTTTGAGTTATAAAAAAAAAAAAAAAAAAGAATATGGAAACTTTTGTTCTGATTTTCTCTTTTGCAAGTACATTGCCATCTCAACCAAGAACACAATATAAAAAAATGTCCAACTTTATCGAATGATGAAGCAAGAGGACACTTTGTTCTGATTTTCTCTGTTGATCCTTTTCGAGTCGAGTTTCAAGAGGACATGAGGATGAATGGAGAATTATTTCAGGTTAATCACCACTGAAAACCCTGAAGTCGAACATAATAATAATAATAATAATAATAATAATAATAAATAAAACCCACCTCATTATCAATAAAGCAAACGCTCAAAGTATTTCATTCCATCAAAGACTTGTACGCAAATCAGTAACATCTTCAACTTTAACATTGCAAACTATTTCATTCAAGTCCTTGAGATTACAGCAAGGCATTTTACTAATTCCCCTCTCTCTCATGACATTCTTTGTCCTAGCAACCTCTTCCCATTTACCTGCCAAGGCGTAAACGTTAACCAGCAAATTGTAATATAAATAATTGTGTGGGTCTCGCTCGATCAATGCTGTAGCAATCTTTTCACTCGAAGTCACGTCCCCCAAGAACCGACACGATCCAAGTAATGCTGCCCATAACGAGTATTCTCGACCCACACCATCATCATCATCGTCACTCGGGATATTCATCATGACATTCATGGCATCGTGCACTAAACCAACTCTAGCCATTAGATTAGCCATGCACCAGTAATGCGCAAAATTGGGTTTCAACCTAAACACATCAATCATTTGAGAAAAGTATAATTTTCCCTCTGTCAACATTCCTAAACGGGCACAAGCGCATAAAACACCGATAAAAGTGACTTCATCGGGCTCAACCTCATTTTTATGCTTCGTATCCACCATTTGCTTGTATAAACTCAGCCCCTCATCTGGATTGCCGTGAATGCAGTGCCCCAAGATCATGGCATTCCAAGATATTGTATACTTGGTCGGCATTTTATCGAATATTACACGAGCAGCATCAACCCTGCCACATTTGCTATACATATCAACCAGGCCCGTAGATATGAGCAAATTAAATCCAGGAAATTCCTTAACGAGATGCCCGTGAACTGATTTTCCCTCTTTTAATCTATTGGACCTCCCACATGCCGCAATCACTTGCACCAAGGTTGTACCATTACCCACAAATCCCCCAACCGTCATTTGTCTGAATAACTTCAAGACATTGCCCGGGTTCCGGAAGTTCATGTACCCCGTCATCATAATATTCCAAGAAACCACATTTTTATCAGGCATTGCATCAAACACTTGATGGGCTAATCCCATTTCACCCACTTTTGCAAAACCATCAATAATTGTGTTCCACGTGACTGAGTCTCTCGTAAGCATTTCATCAAACATCATACGCACATCGTCCATGAGCCTACAGCAAGAGTACAAATGAACCAAAGAGTTCTGAACCTGCAAAACCCCGTCGACCCCGAATTTCAAAGCGTGGCCATGGCACATCTGGCCCAAACCCAAGCTGCCGAGTTTCGAGCAAGCGCTGATCAATGGAGGGAATGTGAAGCAATTGGGACGAAACCTACCGTCTCTCAGCATCTCTACATAGAAAACCACTGCCTTTTCATAATTTTTGCAGCAAGAGTAGCTCTTTACAACCGTGTTCACACAGAACGAATCGGGAAAGTCAATGCTCCTGAAAATCAAGACAGTGTAGCACACATCGCCGATTATACTCGACGAGAGCTTCAAAAGACGGCCGGAGAATGACGGGTCTTGGAAGAGGCCTGAAGTTATTAACTGGGCTTGGATTTGAAAGAGGTGGGCTGAGGTCTTGCAGCCGTTGAGGAAGTAGAGGGATCTGTTCCTGATATTTGCAGATAAAGATTGGCTCTTTTTGGAGCGACAGGGAATTTCTTCGCCGGTAGAAGAAGAATGAGGGTGAGAAGATGAAGAAAGGGAGGAAAGCAAGAATGGCTTAGAGGGCTGCGCAAATGGAAGGGTTCTGAATCGAAGGAGCTTTGCCATTCATCGGGTGTTATGGTGTTTGGACCTGGCGACCTTCATTTCAAACAACAGTAAGAACTCAAAACTCTCAAAGGAGTTATTAGGTTGTGCATTGAGCTCATGGCTAAATTATAGATTTTGAGGCGGAGTTATAAGAAACAGCTAGTCTTAAAGAAAAGTCTAAGGGCATGCTTGTTTATAAAATATTTTACTCACAAAATATTTTTATTCAAAATTTAACTCAACTTTAACTCAACTCCACTATCTTTAATATTATTTATATAATTAAATAATATAAACCAATCATTTTTACATATCACATCAACTTTAATTCACTATTCATTCACTCACATAATTTTAACTACCAATCATTTCCAATCATTTATCTCTTACTTTTACATCAAATCAATAATAATCATTTTATTTTAAATATTATTTTAATACATTATTAAAATCCCACTAATAACTAACCATACCACCTTTTTTAAATTTAACTCTAGTTAATCAAAATATTTCATAAACAAACATGCCTTAAACTTTTCAAGAATGAAATAGAGAAAAGTACCCTGCACGAGCCCAACTTTCTATATTGCCCATTTAACGAGATAAAAAGGAAAAAAAAAAAATCGCACATCAGACTTCATTAAGGCTCAATTACGAAATAGTGAATCTTTCAATTCCACTTTCTCTATCATCGACGTCGCGATCACCACCCTCACCATCTTCTCCCGCCGGACTCCGCCTTCTCCACTCTCGGTCAGCCGTCTCTCGCCCACCTCCTCCTTCACTCCTCCCCCCTCTCTCTTTCCCCGTCATCCCTCCTCTCCCTGCCCTTCGCCTCCACAGTCCCGTCCCTCTCCCCCGCCAGCCACCTCGCTGTGACCTCCGGCCAGCCCGAACAAATATCCATCAACAACGTTGAAGTCTCTGATACCCCCATTTTCGACGACGGATTTGTCTTCGTCTACGCAATTGACGGTTTCTTCAACCTGAATTTCACCCTAGCGGATGCAGATCCGGCCAACCCGAACCCTAGATCCGATTCCCAGTGCTTGAAGCTAGAATCATCCTCTAGATTTGGGGATGCACCTGGAGTTTTGAAATCGAGAGTCTACTCGTTATTTCCTCCAGTCGACTGATCACCGATAGCTTGTTATCATCTTAGGTAAATTTTATCCTGTCAATTATTTTTAATTTTCGTACTAATTTTTTTTCAGGAAATTAAGTGTTCATGGAATTTGCTAGTAGAATTTTGTGATTGTAGAGTTATTTTTATTACTTTCTATTTTCTGTAAATTGTTTTGCTGCTTTTTGCTCAATTTTTCCTTGGTTTAGTTGGTCATTTTTCTATGCAGTGTTATGTAGTTTGTTGAGATATTTGTGTGCTATGTGCTTTCTGTTCTTCAATAATTGATTAATTATGTGATCTTTTAATCTCTCGAACTGCAGCTCATTGGATTTTTAGAAACTCACACGACGTTGTGAAACCGTGGACAGTTTTTGGAGCGATGGACGTGGAATTGGTCCAGTTTTTCGGGGATTTTGTAGGTCTCTCTTCTTTGTTCATGAGGCATTTGGCTCCGTGCAAAGTGATGTGGAATAATATGGATGAGATGACCAACGGGACTGTGGTTTCCAACAATGTGAGCGGCTTTAGCTTAGAGATTACCAAGGATGAAGTTGATACAGTGATGGTGAATGGAGTCGAAATCACTTCCCAGATTTGTATGAAAGCGAGTGGCTGGTGGTTCACAGGATCGAGCGGTGATTGCTTTGCCGGAGATTGGGGACGAGGAGATGGAAGTGACGGAGGATTTTCCAGTGGAGGAAGACAATAACTCGATGGCTCTGGATAATGGGAATTTTGAGATCAGTTGTTGCTAGTTTACTGAATGAAGCGTTTTTCTTTTACACTGAAGAATTTTTCATGTCTTGAAAAGGGAATGACAACTTTTAATATTCTTAGAATTGAAAATTGGGATTGAAGAGAATATGTGAATTGTGGAAATTTTACTAATGGAACTCTGGAATGAGATTTCTTGTTGAAAAGTGGCTCGGTTTATCAACGAGGAGAAAACAAGCGTCGAGGAGAAGAGAGGTGAAAATGGGGATACGAAGGTCAGAAAAAATGATGGGCTGCGTTTCCATGGCTCCGATTACCCCTTTTTTCAAATTAGTAGTGTTAATGTTTGGAAGAAAAAAAAATTAAAGTAGCTTTTTAGTGTTAGTTCCATGTTTATTTGATGTTTTTTTTTTTATGTTTATCTATGATTTTTCAAAGATGAGAGCCTGAATAATCTGTGGAAGTTTTTTATAAAGTAGACTTTTGAGTGTTAATTGATGATTTCATTATATGTGTTGATTTATGGGAAAAAATTATAGTTTTTTGAGTGTTAATTTGATGTTTATCTGATGTTTACCTACGATTTCTTGAAGCTTGGAGCTTGAATAATATCTGGAAGTTTTTTATTAAGTATATTTTGAGTGTTAATTGATGTTTATCTATGATTTTATTATGTTTATCAATAGTTTGTATTCTGAAAATAATATAAATGTAAATTTACATTTGGTGTGTATAAAAGTATAAATTTTATAATTATAATAAACTAAAAATAAACCCTATATATTTTTTTCTTGTATAATAAACTGTTTTTTTTTCTAGTATAATAAACTGAAAGTAAACTATATATAAATTTAAATTTACAATCTGTATTCTTGTAATGGTTTATAAACTAATAATAAATTTAAAATAATCTAGATATCAATTTTGGTAGAAAAACTGGTTCATAAACTCAAGATAAACTTAAAATAAACTATATTTAAATTTAAATTTGGAATTAACTATTTGGTGCACTTAGAAAATGAGTTAATTACATGAGTTGGTTATTAACAACGCGTGATGATAATTATTAGAATTAATTAAATTGTAAGAGGAGGTTGTGATGATAAATTGATAATTGTTGGAATTAATTAATTTGTAAGAGGAAGGTTTAACAACGCGTGATGATAATTGTTGGAATCTATATATATATATATATATTTGCTAGCTAAGTAATAAATTTTATCTAATAAATAAAACCTAATAAATTTTACCTATGTGGTAAATCATTAATAAAACCTAATAAATAGAACCTAATAAATTTTATTTATGTGGCATTAATACACCCAATCTCATTAATAAGAAAATATTTCATTACATTTTTTGGGTTAATAACAAAAACCACTATATTTTATGTTAATTGATTAATAATTATATTTTTTTATTGAATAATATAATAGTTAATATTAAAATTAGTAATTATATTTTATACTAAATAATATATGAAAGTTACATAAAATTATATTTTACACTAAAATCAATATTTTTTTATATGATGAAGATGTTGTTTATTAATAAATTAAATTTTTTTATGTCATAGTAAAATTTCTTAAAATCACATAAGCAATTGTTATAATAAATGTAATATTTTTCAGCTAATTAATTGGTCATGATCACTCAAAATTATAAAAAGTATATATTTATTACATTTTATGCAATCGTGATTCGTCGTGTGTACTATTTATTTTAACCAATGATCAAATTTTAAAATATAATACTATTATATAATTTATAATTTTAATATTATATACATAAATATAACTTATAATATTATATATTTGAAATATAATACAATTATATAACTTATAATTTTTATATTATATACATAAATATAACTTATAATATTTAATTTTATTTACATCTGTGCAAATGCACAAGGTCGAATACTAGTTAATTAAGTTGTAAGAGAAAAACCTTCCTACGTTTGCGGGCCGGTAGGATTGTTTAGGTGGCACAAGAAAACCCGTTGTACAATGGAGTTCATCATAATTAGTAATAACTTTTCCATATCATAAAAGTGGAAAATTTATGACAAGGAGGATCAATCGTGTCCTTTAGCCTATTACAAACACGTTGATAAAAGAGAAAATAGAGTATTTTAAAAGGGTTTAATGCACCAAACCCCCCTGTATTATACTAAATCTGCGCCTTTCCCCCCTCTAATATAAAAATTGCGTCGGACCCCCTTCTATTAACAGTTGACGAGCTGACGCTCCCCAAGTTATGTTTGAGTGTTAACCCCGTTAATGTTTTTGTAAACTTCCCGTTATGCCCTCTTTTATATTTTATATTATACAATTTGAACCAGAAACATAATTTCTCTCTCTCTCTTCGCGATCATCACTTTTCCTTCGAAAAATTGAAGCTCCACACCCTAAATTCATATCAAAATTGAAGCCCCGCACCCTAAATTCATATGAAAATTGAAGCCCGTCACTCTAAATTCAGATCGTTTGAGGAGTTGCACCCAATTGCATCTCTGAAATTCGACAATTTAGGGTTCTAACTTGCGGCGAATTTCATCTTGAAGACATATAAGGTATTATTCGAATCTAGTATATAGTTATAGTCGTTTAATTCGTTAGGTTATAGTCAATTTATATAGTGAATTTTGAAATTAGGGTTTTCAGTTCTCGTGACTTCGTGCTTCTGAGATGAAATTGGGCGAAATACGATAGCTTCAGTTTTCAGTTTTCGTGCTTCGTGCTTCAGTTTTCAGTTTTATCTGATTACTTAAATTAGGGATTTTGATTTTGGAAATTAGGGATTATGATTTTTGAAATTAGGGCTTTTTGATTTTGAAGGTCTGTCTTATTTAATTGTGTTTCTGAAATGATATTGGTTGTTTATCTATTTGGAAAACTAAGGCTTTTCGATTTTAAGATTAGGGTTATTTGTTTGTGCTTCTGATTTTGAAATTAGGGTTTGAAACTTAGGGCTTTTTGATTTTGTAATCAGGCTTAATTATATATAGGGCTTTTATGTAATATTGTGCTTCGGATTTAGAATTTAGGGTTTTCATATTTTGAAATCAGGGCTTTTTTTGTTTTATGCTATTATATTTGGGAATTAGGGATTTTATGTAATTTTTGTGCTTCTGAATAGGGTTATTATTCGAGTTGGGAAATAGGGTTATTATTGCTCTGAATTGTGCTCTGAATCATATTGTTTGTTTGCAGAAAATGGCTGTTGTATTTGATGTTAGAGTTGGGGGAGAGATAGTATGGTTGCCTTTTAGGCGATACTTTGGTGGCCAAAGAGTTGCAGTTGACTGGTACGATGTTGATAGGTTATCCATTTTTGAAATCATGGATGTCTATAGGAGAGCAGGTGGCAAAGCATCTGCAGTTGATATTTTTTCACACAAGCCTGGAAAGACTCTTCAAACATCAAAGAAGTTGCTGAAGATTGATTCTGACAAAGATATTTTGAAGTTGGTGAAGCATTATGCAGGGCAGCTAGTTATACCACTTTACTTTGAAGATTTGCAAGGCCCTATACAAAGAATGGACCCAGAAGGCAATCTGATGTCTTCACAAGAAGAGCCCCTCCTTATTGAATATCCATTTATTGAAGAGCCCCAAGAATCACCACACCATGAATCACCACACCAAGATGATTTGCAATCAAATAAAGAAGCTGATACACATAATGGTGCTTCAGAGGTGGATCCTACAGAATCAAATGATGGTACTGGTGAGGTGGATTCTACACAAAGAGATGATGGTGCTGGTGAGGTGGATGGTGCTGGTGTTGCTGCTTGTGAAGCCACAGTTAATGGTGTTGTACAAAGAGATGATGGTGCTGGTGAGGTGGATGGTGCTGGTGCTGCTGCTTGTGAAGCCACAGTTGATGGTGATGTCCACAGAGATGAGACAACCAGTGCTGGTGCAAGACCCTGTTCACATGATGAAGGAGAATCCCAAACAGTTGGCCATGAGGAGGACCATCTTCATGAGGAGGCAGAACAACAATTTGAAGATGAAGTGGCAGAACAACAATTTGAAGATGAAGTTGCAGAACAACAATTTGGAGATTCAGAGGATTCAGAGGATTCAGAGTATGAACCTCAAGAAGACAGTGGTGATGGTGATTCCTCAGATTTATCTGAATGGGAATTGGAGGATTTAGAAGGCCCTGATGATGATGATATATTCCAACAGAGAGAACATGATCATGCTAAGAAGGTACACAAGAGGGCAAGAGAATGGCTGAAACAAAGAAAGAAGCAGAAAAAGAAGGCTAGAAAAGAAGCTGGTGCTGCAAGAAGGTCTACAACAGAAGATTGGTACAGTGACCCTGAGGATGATGACAACTGCTTTGGAGAGCCTGATGAATGGATTAATGGTACTGACATGTCAAGGTTTGAGTTGAAGGTTGGTCAAAAATATGAATGCAGAGCAACATTTAAGGAGGTGATTAGAGATTGGTCTGTTAGAAAGGGATATGATTTGAAGTTCCCAAAAAATGAAGCCAAGCTTATCACAGCAAAATGTAAGAGTGGGTGTGACTGGTTCTTGAGGGCCTCAGTTATTGGAGGTTTGTCCACATTTCAAATCAAGACATTGAAAGGCACACACTCATGTGCTTACAGGACAGAGAACACACAAGCAGACTACAAGTATCTTGGAAAAAGAATGCTAGATACTTTGAGGGACAATCCTACTGAGAGTCTGCCAAGTCTGAAAAACAAAATCAAGAGGCATTGTGGGGTTGAGGTTAGTTTGCACAAGGCATACAGGGCCAAGGTGTATGCTCTTTCTTTGTTGAAGGTTGACTATGGGGAACAATATAAGAGGCTATATGACTACTGCTCCACAGTGGCCAAGTACAATCCTGGTAGCTCTCTTATCCTGAAGTTGAACAATGATTTTTCACCTCCAAAGTTCATGAGGATGTATGTTTGCCTAAGTGCAATGAGGCAGGCATTTTTAACTGGCTGTAGGCCAATTATAGGGCTTGATGGATGCTTTCTGAAGACTCTTCATGGTGGTCAACTTCTTTC